CATGTTTAATCTACTTATCCCAAGATTAACTCCAAAGGGCTTCTTTTTCTATCTCTGCATATAGTTGACAGACTGTAGATGCTTACCTAATCCATGCAAACTACCCTGATGTTTTGCTAAGTCCTCGGCGGATCTTTAGTCTCTTGTGTGGCAGGAATGTCCTTTTTGAACCCGGCTGGGCGGTGTTCAACTCTGGGAACTTGTTCAAATCATGAACCTGATTACCCATATACTCGTGTAACTTGCTAATCATGCTCTGCGCAATCACAGAACTGGGGACTGTTGCCTGCAGCGCTTTACCTGCTTTTGTTTTGAGACTAGGTAATGAGGGTAAGCATATAATTTGGGATGATAAAAGCTTTGGAGTGCTGTCTTTCAGGGACAGCCTGACATTAAGAAAATTGGTGCTTCTGTGTGGGGCTTGACATTTCTGAAATGAAGAATCACTGAATGCAAAGTAAGGAAACCAGGCTGCCTGCCACGTGCATGGGTCAGGGGACAGCCTGAGGGGCACATCTGTAGTGTATGCAAATTCTTCAGCACAAACCTAAGGCTGAGCTTCAGTCCAAATTTGCTGATTGCTACATTACCAGCCTACATACAGACAGTCCTGCAGTGAGATTTGGGGTGTCCTTTTGTAATCAGAGGTGGGATTTGTAGATAGCATGAGTTCAGGTTATTGGTATGGATAGTGTGAAAAACAGTTGCTTGAGGAACAGGTATCCCAGTGGCAGTGATGGAGATGTATGGATCTCCAGCTCACTGCCTCATAGATGCAGGCAAAAAGATGGCAAGGATGGCAGTACCGGATCAGACCAAAGGTCCATTGAGCCTGATGGCTTCACTGTAGCAGTGGCCAATGATAGATGCTTACAGAAGTGTAAAAAGACAGGGCAAATATGCAGAGATACTTCCCTGAAAAAGTCTCCTCACCTGCAATGAGCTGAGGGCGGTATCTTAGGCTTAGACATACAAGAAACTTATGCAGGAGAAGAGAGCAGGACTTCATGGAGGATGTAGCAGGATCTGCTGCCATGCAACAGAACAAGCTAACCTGCAGCAGAGGGTGAGACTCCGTGAATCAGAAGACAAAGCAAATAGTTGTAGGAGAGTTAAAACTTCTCAGGATGCCATAATCTAAATCCACTTCTGAAGAGACGCCTGAGTTTTTTGGGGTTTTCCCTAAACAGAAATGAAAGAGTAGATTTGTTTTTCCATTCTGAACTAAAGTTATTCTTCTTATAAACTATTTTCTGTTCTCTTTCCCCTGTGCCTTTCTTCCTTAGGCTGTAAGTATTTTGGCTGACGTTCTGGGGCACCTATGCCAAAAGGGACAGCAATCACCACAGCTCGTCCGGGGACGGAGCGTTTGCGTGGCAGAGTCTGAGGATGCTAGACAGATCATCTGCATGCCAAGAATATTCCTCAGAGCCTAACCAGGGGCATTTTCTGGATTCTCTTTAGACCCAGGGAAGTTTAGGAACACCCGGGTCCAGTGTTCAACAAAAAACTTGAGTTTTTGGCTAGGGAGAGCGCTGGAGAAGGGTGGCTTGGCAGAAAGCTTTGTGTTTCAGAAGCTGATCAGTATGTGTTTGAAAAAACCAAAATGCGTGTTAAAAATGCAGAGAATTCAGTATTTTAACTCTGTTCCAGTTAAGTAATTTCTAGATATTTTATGGCATGTGTGTGCTTTTTGACATCAAAATTGTTTTGCATTGATCTTTTTCATCACTATTGAAAGGCTTGAGGCTGATATATCCAGAAGTCATGCTTTCTTAAATGCAAACACATAAATTTTATTTTAAAAAGCTAGTAATAACAACTATTTCATTGCACCTACTTTTCTCCAAATGTGGAGCGAGCACACTCCATTTCGTAGTCTGCATACGTTAGCTACCTAAGGGTTGTCAATTATGTTACACTATAAAAGGCACAGCACTTAGGGGGCTGTCAATCAAGTCTGTTGTGAGAAGAGTCATTATTCCAACAGTATTTGTCAAATATAAAAATAAAACAAGTTTACATGACAACACCAAATAGAGAGGGATCATATTTCATTTTATAGTGAAAGTGGTTTGGACTGAGCACAGAATCAGTAAAGGTGAATCAAAAATAGGCAGAGATCTTTGCTTGTAAAGCAGTGCCCCCTGTTTTGTTCCTTCCTACAGCTTTCCTTCTCCATGAAAGAAGGTGTTACCCAAATCTTCACCGCACTTTGTATCACAGCCCCGCATCTGTTTTGTCTTTTCACAGTCCGAGGGTTGTGCGTTGGGGTTTTTTTCCACAGCTTATGGGTATCGCTGAGCACTGCAAGGCTTTTTGGGGAGCATTCTTTTCTGCAGTATTATGTTCCGGCTTTGCTATAATTTATGTGCTTGAGTAGCCCCCATTGAAATTACAAACAGTTCTCAAAAAGAAAGAAAACTTGTATGGATGTAATTTGGAGGCATCTGAAGATAGTTTTATTCCACATGGATGCCAGAGTCAGCCCAAAGAGATCCAAACGCAGTGTCTGGGCCTATTTTTAGTTGGCAAGTGCTTTTAGACTATGTAATGTCTCTTTGTCATTTGTCTACCATATGCTTTGTCTCCATATGTTTATGACTGTTGCTATTGCTGATTCAGTATTTCATTAATAGAATCATTTGGAGCTGTTCTTTAGACTAGGGTTTGCATCAGAGTTTTTTGTCTCTGTATAATTAGACTAATGCCATTACTGATCCCAGCAGCAACTTTGAGTCAGAGCTGACATTAGATCCATAAGCTGTGCCTATACTGCTAAATAAAAGAGGCCTAAGGACTGGCCTAGAGACGAAGTGAACTTGATTGAGTCACATCAGCGCCGATTAGAGCCACTTTCCCTGTACAGCGGAGCTGCTTGGAACAGCCCAAAATAGAACCAGAAACACAAATAATCTCCCCCATCCGTAGACACAGAGCAGTAGTAGTTTTATCTCTTCATCACACAGAAGGAAATTTATTGCTATTCCCATTACTGAACCTGTTCAGATTTATAAACTTTTCATTATTGATTTTTCTAAGTACTGGAGACATACATATATTCAGAATAAATAGAAGAAAACAGTAGGTTTTCAAATTGTATATGCTTCCCAAGATTCATTTATAGATAGGGAGTAGACACTGTGTACCTCACCAGGTAACCAGAAAATACATCTCAGAGCGTGCCCCCCTGGGCCAATGCGAGGGATTTGCCAAGGTACAGCATGGATGCTATTGGAGGTTGTGAACTCCATCTGTATCTTTGTCAGACCGCAAGCTCCATTTTGGTTTTAAGGCTGGGATGTGCCTTCCTGTGGCCTCATGTCTTTCCCGCTGGATTAAAATTCATGCAGGGCACATGACGGTCAGTGACCAAGCACTATCCCACAGAGTGCTGTGGTCCTGGACACTAAGTTACTCCCGCCAAGGAGACCAGGTCGTTGAGGACGTGGTCACCTTGGCCACAAACTAATCTGGCAGGAAACTGTATTCACCTGATGAAAGCTGGATGGGAGCTGAAAAGTTACAGAATAAAAGTGGTCCTCTCAGTGTCTTTGGAGCTCAGGAAATGGCAGATCCACCACCTAACACTTTTCCATGCTTCTTGGAGATGCTTTACAGAGGACAAAGTGGTTTTTTAGAATTAAATTTCTTCTCCCCTCAAAATGAAAACGATGACCAAAATACCAGCCAATTCAGAGCTGAAAATTTATTTTAACGGGCTTTGGACGAGTCTCTGAACTAACGAAGCACAAGAAAGTATGACTTAAAGATTTCAGGTTTTAAAACAGCCGTAGCAGCAGAAGCTTCTGAGTCATCAGGGCTTCCACAGAAAGTCTAAAGAAATACATACGATGCATCTTTCACAGAAATAACAAGGAAAGAGAATGACAAATTGGATCTGGATTAAGAAAAAAACCACCAAGTACTGCTGTTCCTTTCTGACCGTTATATTCCAATAATAAAGAAAATAATCTGCAGTTTTCTGCTGTAGAACTTTTTACAGAAACAATCCATTCATGTGCCTGTATTGAATCTATTTAAAAAACTTTGGGAGAATTTGCCTTCCTTTATGCTAAGACAACTAAGAGAATAAGTAATGGTTTTGTACCTGCTGTAATGCTTTAGGTACTTTATGTTAGGATGTCAAGGCTATAAAGTGTCCAGCAAAACCAATTATCTAACATAATACAGATGTCTTCCCCAGATGTTCTGAGAAAAGAACTGATCGTTCTTTTTGGCTTCTCTCTTATTGCAGCAACAAGGCACTACCTACAGTCTACCCTGTGGGTGCCAGTACCTGAAGAGCCACTCAGCGCGACATTTGGAAAAGATCCCTTCCTGTCATTCTGCTGCACCAGAAGAACAATAATCCTGTGGGGGTATGTTCGGAGGGAGAGGTAAGCACGGTAAGCTTCTTTAGCATTCAAACATCTGTGCAAGAGCTAACCTGAATGCAGAGTAGTATTCTGCTCTCCGAGAGCTAGCCTGGTGCCTGGATAATAGTTTTGCCTCCAGGCGTTTTATGCTAGCCTTGAGAACCTGTCAGTCATTGACCACTTTGGGCCAAGTTCCGACTATAGAAAATAATTGTGAGGGGAAGAGTAGGAAGCACTATTGAATGCTTTCTCTTCTCAACCATCTGACCTGCAGGTGGAAAGGCAGTCTCTGTTTTGACATCTCTTGCTCTGCCATCTTCAGCCATCAAAGAAGCACTTAAAAGGGCAAATGGTGCAGTCTGGAGCTAACTCATGAAATAGCACGCATAATTAAGATTATTATAAGTATCAGTAGAAACTGCCTGAATCATCACCTCCTTACATGTGAGAATCCAATACTGCATGTCAGCCTAAATCTGAACATCTGCAGCAAGCAACTGTATTTCTCAGATTGTGGTAGTTCTCTTTCAAAATGGGAGTGAAACAGGAGAAAAAGTTTGCAGGTTTTGAGGGGAAGGAAAGAAGGAATCTCCAACTTCTGTGAGCATAGTCACAAACTGACTGATTTACTTACTTATTGATGATACAAGTCGTGTCATTTATAATGTGCTGCCACAATCCAGCTGAACATGGTTGGCTGGCAGCAAATTATCCTTACTTACCTTGTGGAGGTAAGTAGGCTCCACTTATTTTAAAGGATGCCAGACATTTTGTCTCTTTGGCCAAGCCTTCCCAGTCATTTATAAAGTTACATGGAAAGGTCAATCTGTATTTAGATCTACAATATGATTAAAACAGATCACATTAAATTATTTCCATTTACTTAAATAAAAGCAAAACAAAATGAAAAAGCTTGCTAAATATCTCTTGGGAGTGGACTTCACTGTCCCCTGGGGTGTGATTGCTAGTTTTCCACTCTTCTGGATACATTAAAAAAAGAGAATCAAACAGGAGTTTCATTAAGAGCTTCTGTTGGAATATAGAGGTTCTGAGCAAATATGGAAAGAAATATACATTTTTTTATGCAAGGAACCTTCAGAAAAACATCTTTTTTAGAGTGGAGTTGTCAGGGAAAATGTGATACTATTCAAAATAAAAACCTACAGTTTGAAACACTAAAAGGAGAGAGGAGTCAACTATGTGTAACTCTCTTGTGGGATCAATAGGATAGACATTTTTTCTCTTTGGCTCTCTTCTATATTTCTATGTGCTGAACCAGAACTCGAAGGCAAGTCTAACTTACTTGTCCACAATAGATGACATCATTTGGTATTTCATTCTTTCACATATTTTAGGGACAGCTCCATACCTTACTGATCCTGCCTGTACAGGCTTGACCTTACTGATCTGATTTGCCTGAGTCTACCAAAGATATGACACTGATCTTATGGCTGCTGGATCAGATCCTGCCTAGATGGCTTTTACATGCTCATTTTCCTTGGATTTTCATTCTACTAAAATAGGAGGACAGAAGATGACCATGTGTTTAGCAGTTCTGGGACCAGCAACCATTAAGAGCAGGATTTCAGTCCCACTACAGTCAAATGTCATTGTGTGTGTGAGGACTAAACAGTAGAATAATTAAGAAAGGTTACTTGGTTTTTAAAAGTGCTTTCCTGACAAACTGCCAGTGTTGTCAGTCTTCAGGGGAAAAATGTTACTTTTTGATGCATTTGTCATGAAAGGTCTGATTCTGAAAATGCTCAAACAAATGAGTAACTTTACTCCTGTGGATAATATTCAAAGAGTTCTTTCATGGTTAGGCGTTTGGTTATCGTTCCTGTATTAGAAGTTCTTTCTCTTGATATCTTGAGTAAGTAAAGGATTGAGAGATATAGCTGGCAGAGATATTCCCTACATGCCTGGATCTATCCTTTTCCCACCACTTTTCTTGATAGGGCTATTATTCTTGTCTTGATACGGACATTTTCCCTCCTATCTTGTCAGGCTATTCCTTCATCTTGATCTTATAATGATATCTCTTACTCAAGCTGATAGAGTGTTTTAAGAAATACAGATGTGTACTTTACTTATAAATAAGAAACCTTTCTGGTGAGGGGTTTGTCCCAGTGCCATTTCATCCAATGGACAATACACTGAAGAACAGGGAATTAAATAAGGAATTATTTGTAAAGTACACTCAGGATAGTGCTCAGGTCAATTTTTAAACACCTTATTGGAGCCTGCAAACAGTTGGCCTCACAATGAGGACCAGGCTTGGGGAAACAAAATTTGTTTTGCCTTTTTCTGTTTTAAATTTTCTGCAAATGTGTAGTTTAATTGTTACTTTAAACTGTTTATTTATTGAAATAGGTTTTTATACTCTGCCAGCATATGATAGTCAAGCACCTTCTAATTATTTTGAGAATGTTCACAAACCACGTTGGTCTTCAGATTTTTTCTCAGATTAACGCAAATATTTGATGTACAAAATTGGAATTTTTTTAAATTTGTGAGAGAGAGCAAATCTTCGTCTTCTTATCTTCACGCTGGAAATCAGATGATAAATATTTTGCTCTTCACTCCAGTAGTAGAACAAATCTGGCAAAATGAATCAACATATCTGAGTGAATCTTCTCTTTTCAAATATTAGAGGACCCTCACAGATTCTCAAACCTTCTTTGCAATATTTGGTAAATCTCTCAGTTGAGGTTTAATTCTAGGTGATGGTAATGTATGTGTTTTAGCTGTTAGAATACACAGAACAGCTTGTCACTATCACTGAGTAATTGCACTGCAGTTACTGGTAGGGAATATGGTATTCAGAAAAATGAAAAATTTAGGAATCTTCTGAAGTCAAGTTTAAGGTCAATGAAGCAAATTAACGGAAATGTAGAGTGGAAGATTATAACAAAATTGAACATAAATAGCACTGCATTTTTTGAATCTGAAGAGTCTGAATTGCGAACAGAAACTGAAGAACAGTTATCTCCTCTGGGAAAAACAGATGTCGTCAATGAAGGCAGAGAGTCATTGCATATATTTGCAAAAATGGAGGGTTTCTGTTCTCTTGAAATTCTTTTTAGAACTGAGCCAAAGCCAAGATTCTGCTGCCATATTCGTTTAAAGAACTTCTTACCTGGTGAACAAAGCTGTTACCCTTAATGGCACACTATTAAATGCCATTCACCCCAAGAAGGGATTTCAAAACCGAGTCCTAACTGATCCATTTCCAGGATCAATTAATGGAATTTTTTCAGGCCAGGGACTTTCAGCTTGCGATGGAGAATGGCAGTTCTACCATGCTGAGGGACCATTCTCAGGAGCCCTGGAGGTCAGCCTTTCCTCCTGTGACTGATGCCTGCCTGGCCAGCAGAGAGTCATCAGGTGCTTTGTCAGGGTGGCGAGCACACTAATGCTTAAATGTTAAGTCCTGACTACCTTTTGTGGCTGCTTGCCAATAAATAGTTGATTTACACTTTGAAGTTACATATAGGCAACTTGAAGCCTCTTTGAACCCTACTAAAGATGTCTGAACAAACTGACCCGAAAGAGAAGCCATAAAAGGGAGTGGGCAGGGAAATATCTTCTTTCTACTTAAAAATATACTGTTTGCATCAACATATATAGTGTTAGTTTATGTTAACACAAATAAGATCATATCCATAAATCAAAGGCAAGAATAAAAAAGAGTAATTAATATTCTCTCTTTTGTACCTATTCTGTGCTTGTTTTATAATTTGTAGCAGACGGAAGCTAAATGTTTTCAAAGAATCAAAACCAATTTTATAAGACGATGGTTCATCTTCTCTAAATAGCTTCTCCTTAGACTGCCAGTTATACTTATGATTTTAATCTATAAAAACTTTACTGTTGGAATATGATAATATTTTGCGTAGCTCCAAGTGAATCCGCATTCTTGAACCTTCCTCCATATTCCATGTCTGAAGATTCTTCCTTTTAATACCACTATCTCATTGTTTTACTTGTCTTTGGAAAGATCTAGAAACCTTTGTGCCACAGCAATATTCTCACTCTCTGCTAACAAGCTGTTATGGCCTATTTATGGTAGATTTTCTTGATTTAGATCAAAATCTGTTTTTTAAATTTCTTTTATTGCAATGGCATATATAGTACATTATGAGTAATTCTAACACAAACCAATAAAGATGTCTGTCTTTTTTCTTAGTTAAGATTTAAAGAATTTCTAAGTCAGTATTTAAAGAAATGAAGGTGAAGATACAGAAATAAAAGAAACAGACCTAAATGAAGTAGAACAGAGAAGTACATTGACAAAATAGGCTTTCTCTTAAGCGACAATTCCAAATATACATTTAGGAGTAAAAATAAACAGATGATGGTGAGACAGAAGCGTATGGCAGAAAGGAAGTTATAGTGTGTGTCCAAAACACCTAAATAAACAAGACTGAGAATAAAAGCTCTTGTTCATAAATGCACAGAAACAATTTCTTAAATACATCCTTAGGTTGCTTAACCAGAGCTTCAAAGCATGTAGTATCAAAACTACAAAATACAGATTAATTATATTTAACTAAAAAATGCAAGCCAATGTTTCAAGTGGCAAGATTATCTTTAAATTTCCAACGATGGTCTATTCTGATCTTTCCTCAAGTAAGTATCTAGAAAAACTTCTGAAGAAAACCCAGGAGAATAAGTATATTCAGAAAGTGAATTTCTTGTATAACTCATTTGCCAGGTAGGCTACCACTTAGAAGCTGCAGAGGAACCATTCTTTCTTGGAAAGCATCTAATACATTATCATCGCTGGGAGCAGTCTTGGTATGTCAGTGCCACTGTAACAGAGATAACTCCTACCTCTTAAAAATAAATGAGAAGAAAGTCAGACAAGTTGAATGAATGTATCTATAGACAGAAAGCTTTTGTTTGAGAAGTTTTTATACAGGTCAGCCCTGAAAGAAGAGTTCATAAACTAACCTGTTATGATGATTTCAGGAATTTCATTGGGAATTTTTCTAAAAATTGAATATACAGTTTTTGAATGGTTACCATAATGGAGGAATGGTTTATAGCAAGTATCTTTGAAGCAAACAAATGCTTTCTCTCACTTTGCTAACAGAGAAGAATGGCTAGAGTTTGCATAATTCCATATTAGAAGTACAAAAAGTGTGCAAAGCTATGAAGTAGGTAATGCTACTGTTAAGTTGTGTACTTTGCACTTCACATTTTATGATGCCAAAAGTTAAATGCATAATATAAAATTTGCAGAAGCTGAACTATATGATAATTATGATAATTGGGGATATTTCTCTCCAGGGAGTGAGCTCTAGTAGTTAAGGAGTGACTTGATGTTAAAATAAAAATCTCCCTGTGCATTGATTAATTAAATAAAAGGAATCCAGGAGCTTTATTGCATAGTGGTACGGCACGTGACTTGTACTTTCTATGGGCCACAGGATATATTTATTAGCAACCATATCTGTGTTTACTGGAAGTTAAGACTGCAGCAGGACATACCCTCTCATCTGAAAATTACAACTATGGAAATGAACACCCAAGTGGGAAGATGTATAATCCTTTTCATTTTCATATTGCCTGTAACAGCAACAATCCCATGCTCCGTGATGCTTCCATTTCTAGTAGCCACTGAAAGCAATACTTACCTCACTTTCATCAACAAATGTAACTCAGGCTAACAGCAGCACACACGGGTGAGGTATTGCTCTCCAGAGGTATGTCAGAGAGTGCCCTGGAGTTCTGAGCGGGAGTGAAGTCGTCTGGCTCATCATCCACCCTCTCAGTGTCTCCACACCTTTGGGGAACTACATCTCACATCTGGTCCTGAATTTCTGCAGAGGCCGAGTATGTCTTCAGTTGGCAGGCGCTTAGGCTACGTTTTGTGATAGGTGAACCATCCAGGGGCCCTCTTCTGGCACTAAGGCCGACTGTCACAAAGTGGCTTGCGACTATATTAATAAAGCTCTTACCCTTCAGCAAAGGGCAGCCACATCCAAACCACCTGCTGGAAGTGGTGCCAGGGCTGCACTAATTCTTGAACAATGCTTGGCAAAGTCCTATTTGGCACAGACCAAAGCTATGCCAGGAACTATTCTAACAGTGTAGTTTTACAGTATAGCTGATGGACTTCCCCTGCCCAGGAACTTTCCCTGACTCTGTTTAATTTATTCGTATATATTCATAGGAACTGGCTCAATAAGAGTGTCCCAAGAATCACTTGCATCATTGAAGCCAGTAGCAGCTTCCAGAATGGCGTAGCAGGTCTCGGGTGAACCCTTCTGTCAGGACTGCATGCAGTGTTGCAAGGTACCACAGCATAACCTGACATTGCTTCAGCCCCAAGATGCAGCAGAGGTTTAAGAAGCCCGCTGCTCTGCTGGAGGATGAGTACTGGCAGAACCAAACCCACCAAGTGCGGTCCTGTGGTCTGCATGGCAGAGAGCAGTGCTTCCTTCTCTAGTTCCCTCAGGCACTCTTCTTTCCTTTCTTCTCCATCCCAGTCCAGAGCTTCCTTGCCTTCTGCCTGCATCTCTGCTGCCCTCTGCTGAAGTAGACATAGGCCAAGGAGTGTGGTCTTCTATGCCCTGGCTTCGGGCACATTTAGGAGAAAACCTCTACTGACTTTAAGATTCCCTTTCATGATGACACTGGGGTCCCTTTACACAGGTATTGCCTCTGCTGGGAGATGTTCTCCTCACGCTGGAGGCTGGGCGGCCTGGGCTTAGAAGGGCATGACTGTCCCCCTTGAGGTGCAGAAGTGGTTAACGCTAGGTGAGGTTACATTTGCCCTGATCCATGGGGAGCTGGGTGGCAGCACACACTTCCAGAGCTCATCCTGTTCAAATGAGATCTGAGTTATTTTCTCAGGATATGGCTACTAGACACTTTGGCTCTTGGGCTTAATCCTTTCGTCGGTATATTTAAGTAGAACACTATAGATTTAGAATGAGATGAATTAAGTTGTTTCTCATCAGGAACCAATGGTGTTTTGATCAATGCTGGGCCAGGTCAGGTAGCAGGTCAGAGTGGTTTCCTCATGACCTTTGGACTGAGGACATTCCTAGAGTTTTTAGCTTCTAGATGTATTAGGTGATGTTTAGAGTTTAAAAAGGGCTTTTTCAGAGCCTTGTTGTCAGGCCTGGTGCAACAACTAGCTTCTGAAATCTGTAAGGACAGACTCAAACAAAAAAAGCCTGGATAAACCAATTGGTACAGGGAATGCTTTCCAAACTCGGGGAGACGACTCTGAAATTCACCCCCTGCCAGACGACTCCTTTTTAAAGAAGAGACTTCTAGCGCAAGTCTCTCTGCTTATTTTGGTTGATGCAGCGTGACACAAGGCAAGCGGTTTAAAGGCTGAAGCAGTTGATCCGATGTTCATAGACTGTCACACTGAAAAAGAAGACCCAAGTGTTTTTATTCTGAAATCATGTTCTTAACCGACTCATCAGAGTTATTTTCATTATATTAGGTTAGAGGAATATGATGATGGCATAGTGATAAAGCCTGTTTCTCCTAGGGAGCCTACCCATGATATTTGTTTGTTGTCTTTGTAAGTACATTCTATTAATGGCATATGTTTTTACTATGTAGATGATGCAATGTTAGAAGCCACTTTCCACACAGTTTCTTCTGAGATTGTATGCCATAACATTGCTTATACAGATACGAATATTACTTGAGCTTACAGTGGCAGAGAAATAGCTATCTCAACAGGATAGTAAAACAGCTGATTACTTCCTGAAGCACCTCTTTAAATCAGGAATCCTCCCAATAAAATGCCTTTTAAAAATCCTTTTAATATTAGAGCATACAACAGTTAATCACCTTCAAAAACTGTAGGTACGGCAGTAAAAGGAGGAAAACGTCCTTCCTCTTTCCACTGGTACTTCATCCTTGTTTGAGCTTAAAGTGCAGCTTTGGTTTAGTATTTTTAAATGCCTTCATTTAATAATGAATTCAGAGAGGGTTTTTTGCAGTATTGAGAAAAAACCAAGGATGCTGAAAGCCTCCTCTCAGTCTAGATGGCAATTTTTTGTGTATGGAGGCAAAACATTTGATGTCATTCCTGAATAATGTTGAGCAACGTTTTATCCATCAGAGTTATCCAAATACAAGCAAAGGGCAACTCCCTATTTCAGTGACCTGACTGGTCCTTTTGTTGGATGGCCAGCTCCACTTAGCTACAGATGGTCATATGATATAAAAGTGTGAGATATCACAAAAAGAGGTGCTGTAAGCTCTGGAATCTTGTTTTTGCAGTCTGTGCTCGTATTTGCTTCTCCACTTGATCTTATCCTCACTAGAAAAGTTCCAAAAGTTTACATCAATTAATTTTATTTGATCTATGTAAACTAGAAAAAAACCTCTGAGGCTGACACTTTGAATCCAGTTCAAACTTGTTTAGATTAACTTGTCTTAATTAGCGACCTAAGTGAAAACAAAGCAAGGGTAAAATCACTTCCTGTGCACCACTGATGGATGTGTCTTCAGTGAAGAGTTAACGTGAATTATCCGTGCTTGAATTACTCTGTTTCTATTAGCTCTGTTTGCATGAAAGCAACCACACTGTAAAATAATACTTGAGTTTGTTTTGTCCACGCTATGCTTGTATGAGTTGCGGATGGGCATCCTATCGATTTCTTTACTGGAGTAAGCTGCAAAACAAAACAAAACAAAACAAAACAAAACATCCCCAGTTAATTGTTTATAAGAAAAGGCTGACCTTTTTAGATGAGCAGAAGGCACTGAAGGACTGTATATCCTTGAAGTTTTCCCATGGAGCAAACATATGTCCCTGCTACAGGGAGATCAATTGTTCGACTGCAGCCATTAGTGGGCCAGCCAGTTAGCGCTACAGGCTTCACCACGCTGAAGTTAGGATCCTACGTACGAGTTAAACTTGGGCAACATTTAAGCTAAAATTAGCTTTGCAGAGATGCTCCTGCAGTTGGGATTTGCACTCCTGCACAATGAGATGCAGATCTGCTAGTATAGCAAGACTCCTTGTACTGCTCAGATCTGCTTAGTGACAATAATATGTCAGATTCGGGATGAGCTCGCCTGGGTGCACCGTGTCTGCGCGTGCTTTTGAGGTCAGGTGTCTGCTCAGAGTGGCAGTCTGCATATTTTCCTCCTTCTATGACATGCCCCATTCTACCTATCCTCTGACATATGTATTAAATTTAGAAATTACATTAAAGATGTATTTTCCCTCCCCCAAAGTTAAAACAAGGGAAAGAAGGTAACAGTTCGCAGGACAGGTTAGTAAGCATGGCAGTTCATTGTTGAAGGAAATCAAAAATACTAGCCAGCCTCTCCAAACAGGAATCTGTGTTTAGGAATCTAAATGCATATTTGCTCACTTAAATGCATGGCCTGAGTTCTGGAGGTGCTGAGTTGATGCAATCTCTGAATGTTTTTCATCCT